AGTATGCATCCAGAATGTGTGTAGGTAATGCTATGTTTATGTATGGTGTGTAATACCGGTTGTGTTTATGTATAATATCTGGATCTGATACTGAAAAACATGAATATTTTTGCTCAAGTTCATGTTTATGGTTAAGTACCAGTTTTCTCTTGCAGAGAGTCAGCTGTCGATTTGGAAATAGTTTATATCCACGATAAAGTTTTACCCAAGAAGAAACTGGCAAACTTTTTTTTTTAAATAAGCTAGTGGGTGACAAGATGGTGTGACAGAAAATAGCCAGTAAATGTCACTGAGTTTGAAATGTTATCCTGAAAATGACACGAATTCAAGCAGATGGTAAGTGTTGCACAATTTGTTACTCTGCCATGGACCAAGTCACATTGTCCCCAACCACTGCAGCCTCCTGGGATGGGTTTGTTTTCTTCATTAGAAATAACTCCATATGGAATAAGTTATTTTTATATGCAAAATGGATCAACCCAAATGAATACTACCAAGGTTCTGATGTGGAAGGCCCAGAAGATCTGTGTTTCACTCATAGCCAACATCTGCTATTCAATACTACTACTACTACTACTACTACTACTACAGGTCATTATTAAAGCAGCCTACAGTGCCTCCTAGAGTCCAAGACAAGCCTAATTAGAAGCATAAGCAAAAAACATGACTAAAGGGGTGTGTAAAGCAAAGAGCCACTCATAGCCTGACTTTTCAGTCATGCAGCTGGGTGTCAGTGATATTAGTCCTCATGATGAATTGCACTGCTATGACCTGAAAATTCATAATGTTCTTGGTTAGGACATTTAAACTAAGCCACAGTATCATTTAAAGCAAATCCTGCTGCAAACTGGTCATGTGGGATAAATTAGTGAGTCCTCCACCGGTTTCAGAGTTTGTATAACCCACTGTGGGTACTTTTGAATCCTGCAAGTAGGTTATAATTTTAGCTTTTCTCCTCAAATGGCTGCTGCACTACCTGTACGCCTGGAGCAAATTTTACCCCGATATGTGACTTGCAGATGAATATCATGCTTGTACACAAACTCAACATACAATTTGCAGACTTAAAATCAGGCTTGAATAAAAGAAAACAATCACAAGTAACACAATGTAGAGCACAGCGTCATTAATTTGACCCATTTATTAGTGGATAAATATGTCTAAATACGCTTTGAATACATTTGAAAGTATTTTATTAATCCATATTTTATTATAATATTGTATTGTATTTGATAGTAATTTAGTCTTCATTTTGTAATTAAATAATTAATTTGTTTATAAAAAGCTTTTAATTATTCATGATTTTATTGACCATTTTTGCTATTAATTATCAGGTAATGGGATTCTTTGTAGCCACTTAGTGGTCCTTCATCCTGGCTTACCAGTAAATTTAAAAAAAGAAAAAAGAAAATAGGAAAAAAAGTCAGTTTCTTGCTCTGAGAGGTAATTCCACATAATAATGGTTCTGTGTCTGGATACCCTTTTCCTTTGGTGAACTGGGAATACTGACTGACTGAATATCAGAAGAATACTCTAAATTAAATATCCATTTTGTCTGCTGGAGACAAAAATGTGCCCATCGCATAAGAATTAATTTCAAAAATCTAAACGGTGGCACAGTGGTTAGCGCCACAGCGAGAAGGTTCCGGGTTCGGGCCCCACCTGGGACCCTTTCTGTGTGGAGTTTGCATGTTATCCCCGTGCTTGCATGGGTTTTCTCCGGGTACTCTGGCTTCCTCCCACAGTCCAAAGACATGCAGCTTAGGTTCAGTTTAGGACCAAAGAAGAAAATATTTATTTCTTAAGTTTTAAGATGCACAATTTAACTGAAGCAAAAAACAGTTTGGTATCTAGAAGGTCATTTATTAGTTTTTGTTTGTTTGTTTGTTTTGTGAGGTAAACATTATATTCCAAGACTGTGGAGTAGATAAAGCTAACTGGTCAGAGTAAGGGTAAGGTTTGGGGTCTGGTTAAAGTAACGAGAAACACACAGAACGGGGAAACCGCCTTCATTGTTCCCAGAATCTACTCCCAAGGCTGGAAACGTAACGCTAATTTACGATGCTCCCTTTAAGTCCTTAACCAGGGCAAAATAACTGTACGTTCATAGTTTGTTACGTCATTTTTGTGCGACAGGCCTCAATGTACACTACAGCGCAGTTCTGCAGACAGAAGGTGGAAGCGGGTGAGTCGCCGCTGATAGCCATGGTATCATAATCTTTGAACAATAATAACAACAAACTTGATTAATAAGGATCGCTAGCACATATATTCTGCAGAGCCACAGTGTTTGCAAGAGTACACCTTTGAGCGAGTGGCGTTCTTAGTTTAAAAGCTAGCAGGCTAATGTTTTTGAGCGGAGCCAGGCCCAGCGACAAGTCTGATATCAGAGTTGTCTACAGTGCTTTTGTCAGCGACGTCAGCTAAACGGCTAATGGGACACATGTAACTGATGACACTTCACTCGTTGCTCTGGCATATTCCAGCAGCAAAAGTTGCATAATTTATACAGTTATTTCAAAATTTCGACTGTTTCAGTGGCTCATTGAACGTTATATTAGCCTGTAAACGTTAGCTAGCTGAATTAAAGCTAACGTTGGCTAATTACTTTAAAAGCATGACTTCCAGGAGGACAGGCTATGCTGGTAGCATGGATTCCTCTCCATCAAATGGCGGCAGCAGCTTAGTCCATAGTGGAAATCGTAAGCAAAGTATAATCAACATTCCTGACAGGAGCGTGGCAGAGTCCTGTTACGATCGGAAATCAGACAAGGCTGGATACGGAGCAGCGCAGGGCAGCATGACTGTAACGTCGCTGAAATCACGTCTCGCCCCGACCATTCAAACTGCCATGTCCGCTGCAGTGGACACTCTGCTAGGCGAAGTGGTGCTTGTGCTCAATGAGACTCAACAAGAGCTGCTACACAAGGAGCAGGAGAATGAAAGACTCAAAGTGCGTCTAGAAGTGTCAGAGAGGGAGTTGAAGACTTTACAGGAGTGTTTGTGTAGTGCTCAGAAGCTCATAGATCAGCTTCAGATCTCATACACAGGCTCTCAGACAATTAGTCAGTCGGTTTTTGCCCCATCGCTGTCTTCCATGGCTTCAATGACTTCAAACTTGGACAGGGACCACCAGAATCCCCGAAATGTGAATGGTGCCGGTGTTGACTTGGGACTTGGTGGCACTGTGGATGATTCACTTCATGGGTTTGAGCCAAGAGAGGACTACAAAATGTGCCAACTTTCAATCCAACCAGATGGCTCTGTTACTGACCACGCTCTGGACACATTTGCATCCAGCACATCTCACATGTGCTCAGATTCCAGCAGACCAGGTAGATATGCAGTGTGTGTTGTCTGTGTTGTACTGCATGTAAAGATCTTTGACCCTGAATTAAATAATGACTTACTATTAGTGGACACATTGATTGCTTTCTTTGTTTTAATTTAGCACAGCTTCCAGGTTTATCATCTCTGCGTATTTTCGTTTTGTCTTTAGATGAGAGGCAGTCTCAGGGACCTGGTGGAGCCTCCAGGTTTGAGATTAAAGAGGAGCAGGGATCAGCTTCAGGCTCTGGTCAGCCAGGCAGGAAAGAGCCTGGGTTGCATAGTGACAGTAGAGTCGGGGAGGGAGAACGATCATCCCACACCGTGGGTGACCTGGGATACGTTCAAGTTGGGGAAGGAGAATCCCAACGTTCCTTTACTCACCCTCTGCGTCACCAAAGACCTGGGCGAGAATGCAGCAGTGTTTTGCAGCAGGGTGGACTTGATGGTCAGAAACCCTTGGGGAGGACATCTGGAGCCGGGAGAGGAGACAGTGTTTCACCGGGCAGAGCAGACGACTTGGCAGGACCTTCGGCCTCAGACACAGCAGGAGATCCCTCTGGAGATCGGCCTCACCACTGCTTGGAGTGCGGAAAGACTTTCCGCCTGATCTCCAGCTTGAAGAAGCACATCCGCATTCACACAGGAGAGAAGCCCTACCCGTGTGGAGTCTGTGGCCGTCGCTTCCGTGAGTCGGGGGCCCTTAAAACCCACCTGCGCATACACACGGGTGAAAAGCCATACTCTTGTTCTGAGTGTGGAAACTGTTTCCGCCACTTGGATGGTTTGCGCAAACATAGGCGCACACACACCGGAGAGAAACCTTATGTGTGTTCCATCTGTGGGAAGCGCCTGAGCCGCTTGCAGCATCTCAAACACCACCAGCTCATCCACACTGGTGAGAGGCCGTGCTGCTGCCCATTCTGCAACCGCAGCTTCAAGGAGCCAGCAGCGCTGAGGAAACACATCCGCACACACCGAGAGGAAGGGGGTCACATGGGAATTGGTGCCACTGATGACACAGATCCAGATGCCTTGGATGACATTAACAACCTCCATCCAGCGGCTCCGTCCCCTCAGATGAGGTTTGGGGAGTGGGGACCAGAGGAGGATGAGAGCTCAGCTGTGGACTGTGTTTAGGGGGTGGTTACAGGAGAAACTGTCTGTAGGTAATCGTCCTATGAAACAGCTGATAAAGGGTGTTTGTGTAGTTCAACATGATGGATAAGCTCTGCTGTGTTCTACGCTGTTAGAATGAGCAATCAAGCTACATATGACTCTCTAGTCATGGAGTTGTGTTAATTTTACACTCTTAGATGTAAAGACAACAAAAAAAATCTGTACATTCTTTAACTACAAGTATTAGTTTTTTTTCTGACATTCCTCCAGCAGCAGCACACTAGTTGTTCTCGGCACAGGGAGCCACTGCTTTGCCACTGCTTTGCCACCTTTCTGGCAGTAATTTGGGAAAATGAATGGCAGAAGTGGACAAGAGCTGTTTATAAGTGCCTTGAACACTCACTCAACCGTCAGCTGAGTCGCTGTTGCTGCTGCTGCTGTCTCGTTTCCTTACCACCTGGATATGAGCCAGGACAAACGGTGGCTTCTGGTCTCGAGTTTCTAAAAGTTTTTGCCAACACACTAGGCTGCTTGAACACAGTAAATACATGCATAGGGCTGGTTCATGCTTCATGTGCATCATGAATCATATACTGTACATTGTTGTGTTGTCAAAAACCTTGATTGTAAGATTAGGAATGTAAACTATGGCCATTTTGTATTAATCAAAATCCCAATCTCCTGTCATGATATTGAGGTTATATGCTCTCCCAGCTCTGCATCTTATTTATTTTAACCTTTATTTATTCAGAGCAGTTTTACTGAGAAACAGTTTTTTTTTTTTTTCTAGGAACGCTCTGATCATCATTTACAACCGCAGTCTGACCTGCTGGTCACCGAGCAGCTCTTCTGGAGTGGTTTGGGTGAAGGGCCTTGCTTAAGGGCACCACAGTGGTGCCAGTGAGATCGGGGCAAGCACTACTCCTGTGTCACTGGTCCCACTCAGATTTAATCCTGCTGGTCCAGGCATTGAACCTAACATTTAGCCCAACACTGCTCCTTATAATGACTGCTCATGTTCTTGGCATTTTTTTTTAGTTGACTTGTCATCTACTTTCTTTGATAATTAAGATAAAAGAAGTCAGTTTCTCAAATCATTGTCCTACTGTAGGTGGATGTAGTCCCATTATCAGGATAATTTAAAGTCAGATAATAATTCAATCATTCAATAATTTTGATTCTTATCAGACTATTTGTAATCTACAAAACTAAAATATTTTGGCTACATTTACACTGTTGTGTGTGTTTCTTCATGAAGCATGAACCAGTGTTGGTGCCCATTCTCCACTTCTGCTTTGGTCTGTCTCGCTCCGCTTTTCATCAGGTGCAGTTTCTTTGCATCAGCATGTACCCAGAACAATGACTAACACCGTTTTACTCTTTCTCTTGTCTGTTTATCATTTCTCTCTCCCACCGACCATATCTTAGCACTTGTGTTCTCCCCCGTTCAAGCTGCTACATCTAGAAAGCCTTTTCCTTTTCTGGATTGGTATTATTGTTACTAGCGGACAGACTTTGGTGCTTGCATGTTCATATCTGTAGCTCTGCTGGTGACGACGCCTTCGGGCTGTTTCTGTAAATAACAGTGGTTATAGCCATTTTATCTGGTTGAATAATAAGGATTAACCTTTGTGGAAAAGTCAGTGTGCCACAATGATATTTTTTTTTATATATAATGTGCTTTGAAACCATCGGTATGCTACCACACAGTGTAAATAATGTATTACATTTCATCCTGGTGTTTGTCCTGATTCTCTGACATGATGCGTCGGGTTTAACAGCAGAGCATTCATCTTCTCAGTCTCTCCAGCTATACTCTCTGCTGACATTTACCGTGTATACTACTATAATGATCTCTATGTACATTTACAAATGTAAGTCATTTTAAAGGGCACTCAAAATGTTGACGGTCTGTCACCATATAGCCAGAATACAATTTGCCAAGGTAGTTTTTAGCCCGGATAATCATATTTATTGTTTTGTTTTTTACAGCAGGGCCTTTGCATGTAGGTTTAAATTGAAATGACATTCCTCCTTAAAAGGTCAGCATTAATGTGAAATTAATTCTTTTTTTTTATGCCTCTGTGTTCAAAATGTATCCCTCACATTATTCCTGTTACTGTAAATGTCGCTATATTAAAGGGCATTGTTTATATGTTTCTTTTTTTGGCCTGTTTATTTGACATGCAACATTAAGAAGTGGTTGCTTTGAAATAATAGCAGTTTTCAATGTGTGGTGGAGAACACCAAGAGCTTAGAGTGCTGTAAGCCAGAAACAGCCAGGTGATTAATACTAACTGCTTATACTGTAAAATCATTCGAGACCAGATTTCAAGTTAGATTGTAGTCAATCTGGTTCGTGAACACACTGTTCTTATTGCACTTGATTGAATGAAACATCACTTCACTGCATCGTCTGGATGCGGTGGAGTTGTGGCTTTATGTTGTTAGATTCTCCTGGTTGTGTTAAAGGTATGTTCAGGATTGTAATATAATGTTCAAGATGTCATGTAAACATCATGATCCGTCCACAATGAACTGGACAAGAGTCCGTCACAGTTGGAGAAAACTCACAACAGTGCCTCCGGAGGACACATTTAACCATAACCAGTATACTGTGGTATTTATTGTGTTTTTCTTTAGGCCATTATTTCTGCTGTTCTCAACAAAAACCGTCCTATTTGCAATTTGTTAACTCTGCGATTATATTTTACACAGTTTGCCAGTAAGTTATCAACCTAATCCAACTGAAGAGCCAGCTGGCGGTTTGTTTTGTGTTCTCAAAAACTGACCATTTTATGGATCATTAAATGTGTACTTTGTTAATTTCATCTGACTTGTGACCCCGTGAGACAGGTCAGTGTTTTACACTTTAGCACGTGTATATGTGGTAATAGTTCTCACTGCTGTAATGTTTTTGTCAGTTCAGCAGAAATTGTTGCAGAAATGTCTGATGCTGCTAGTCTGACTGGAATATTACAACCCGCTGTTTGTTACACTTAGTCTGGGACCCAGTGGGTGTTAGGCCCACATTTGTTTGTGCTAAATTTTATAAAGCCACAGTTGGATTTTACCCTTTTTACTAAAACTGGAAGAATCGAGCAGACTTGTTTCAACAAAACAGACCTCAAATGGCAGCCGTGACGTCAAGTTGAAGCCAGTGCTGTGGAAGGCATTTAAATGCACTTATTCCCCTGACTGCATCAGTGGTGGTTCACACAGGGCCGAGCTCATGATTCATGAAAACCGACACAGTGGAGCAGCTCGGTTGTTAGAGAGAGAAGTTTACACAAGCCAAGACAGCCATTTTACTGACATAAAAGAGAGAGAGGATGGGGAACCTCACAGAAAATACTACACTACAGCTGCAGTAAACTGGGTCACTAAGGTAAGACTGAAACTATTCTTCACCTTTGAATAAACTGGCAGAAAGTAACCAATTACTGTACTTTAGTACAATTCTGAGGTACTTTATACTTCTACTCCACTAGATTTGAAAAGGAAATATTATACATTTACCTATACTACATTTATTTGACTACTACTGCTGGTAGTTACTTTGCAGATTAAGATTCTCTGGCCTTGGGTTTCACTGGCACGGAAGCATAAAAATCTACAGTGCATCTAGAAAATATTCACAGCGCTTACCTTTTTCCACATTTTGTTAGGTTACAGCTTTATTCAAAAACATTAAAATCATTGTCCTCAAAATTCTACAAAAAATACCCCATAATGACAATGTGAAAAAATGTTTGAAACTTATGCAAATGTATTAAAAAAAAATAATAATAAAATAAAAATCATATACATAAGTATTCACAGCCTTTGCTCAATACTTTGTTGAAGCACCTTTAGCACCAATTACAGCCTCAAGTCTTTTTGAGTATGATGCTACAAGCTTGGCACAACTATTTTTGGGTAGTTTCTCCCATTCTTCTTTGCAGTACCTCTCAAGCTCCATCAGGTTGGATGGGGAGCGTTGGTGCACAGCCATTTTCAGATCTCTCCAGAGATGTTCATTCAGCTTCAAGTCTGGGCTCTGGCTGGGCCACTCAAGGACATTCACAGAGTTGTCCCGTAGCCACTCCTTTTTTGACAGGGCTGTGTCTTTGGGTCATTGTCCTGTTGAAAGATAAACTGTCGCCCCAGTTTGAGGTCCAGAGTGATCTGGAACAGGTTTTCATCAAGGATGTGTCTGTATATTGCTGCAGTCATCTCCTCCAAGTGCCTTTTGGCAAACTCCAGGTGGGCTGCCATATGCCTTTTACTGAGGAGTGGTTTCCATCTGGCCACTCTACCATACAGGCCTGATTGGTGGAGTGCTGCAGAGATGGTTGTTCTTCTGGAAGGTTCTCCTCTCTCCACAGAGAAATGCTGGAGCTCTTTCAGAGTGACCATTGGGTTCTTGGTCACCTCCCTAACTAAGGCCCTTCTCTCTCGATCGCTCAGTTTGGCTGGGCGGCCCGCTCTAGGAAGAGTCCTGGTGGTTCCAAAGTTCTTCCATTTATGGATGATGGAGGCCACTGTGCTCATTGGGACCTTAAATGCTGCAGAAATGTTTCTGTACCCTTCCCCAGATCTGTGCCTTGATAAAATCTTGTCTTTGATATCTACAGACAATTCCTTGGACTTAATGGCTTGGTTTGTGCTCTGACATGCACCGTTAATTGTGGGACCTTATATAGACAGGTGTTTGCCTTTCCAAATCATGTCCAATCAACTGAATTTTTCACAGGTGGACTCCAATCAAGTTGTAGAAACATCTCAAGGATGATCAGTGTAAACAGGATGCACCACAGCTCAATTTGGAGTGTCATGGCAAAGGCTGTGAATACTTATGTACATGTGATTTATTTTATTTTTAAATAAATTTGCAGATTTCTAACAAACTTTTTCACATTGTCATTATGGGGTATTGTTTGTAGAATTTTGAGCACAATAATGAATTTAATCCATTTTTGAATAAGGCTGTACCCTAACAAAGTGTGGAATAAGGTAAGCGCTGTGAATACTTTCTGGATGCACTGTAAATACTCCCACTACCGTTTTCAGATAAACAAAGTTCCTCCTCTCCGTTAACAGCTGTTTTATCTGGTGTGTTTTTATTTCTCCGTTCTGTTTGTCTGGTGCCATGGGTAACTCTAAGGTTTCAGTTTTCAGAAGGGACATAATTAAATAGTACTAATAATACTCTCAAGGATGTTTTATCTGCAACTTACAACAGTGTATTTGCATTGTTTGTGCATGTGTGTGTGTGTTTTGACAGCTGATGGTGCAGTGATGGTGAGTAGCAGGGCCAGACAGAAATGTGAGAGCAACCTATGAGCTCTCAGTCGGCCCATGCAGTCATTTCCTTGGTGACCGAAAATAAACACTCTCCCTTTCTGGCGAGGAAGTGACTCAACCCCCTCACTCACCCTTTCTGTCTTTTGTCTCTTTCTCACTTTCACTCCTAGCCCTGTGACCACAAACAGTGACCCCCCCCCCCACCGAATCCTCACAGTGGTATGCCTTCACATTATTATTTGCACAGTCACTTTTCTCAGCCTCAAGAGTCACAGTTAGTTTAACATATGACCAGACTGACATGAGGTTTCACTGTAGAGGCTTATTGTTAGCTTGACTGTGAGGTGTCACATCACATGACTACCTTTTATTTGTCTCATTCAAAGGTTTGGTGTGTTATTTGGTCTCATGCACTTATTGTCGGTGATGGAAGAAGTACTCAGATCCCTCACTTAAGTAAGAGTAGCAATGCAATAGTGCAAAACTACTCTGTTACAAGTAAAATGCATTGTTACTGAAATGTTGCAGCTGCTAAAGGGGGAGCTAGTTTTAACTAGCATAATTTGAATTACTGCTGAGTAGTTTGTGAATTTTCCAATGGAGATCAATAATGTCTTATTATTTATTACTATAGAAGTTTCAGAAGGACTGGAGTTCCTTTTACTTCATTAAATGTAGCTGATAATTATCAAAAACATAATAAGGGTGTATATGTAAGACACTCAGGAAAATACCTTGTTTAAACCAACTAGTAGAGTATTACCATCAGCTAAACTTGAGAAATAAAACATTTCTTAGGTTTTGTTCATACCAAGAAGAAGATGACTATTTTCCAGAATTAAAGCCTGAACTTGTGGTTTAAATAGAATGTTTTTCTACTGTTCTATTGTGGCACGGTAGTGCAGTGGTTAGCACTGTCACCACACAGAAAAAAGGTTCTGGGTTTGAACAGCTGACCTTTCTGTGCGGAGTTTGCATGTCCTCCCCCGTGCCTCTATGGGTTCTCTCCAGGTACCACAGCGTCCTCCCATAGTCAAAAGACATGCAGGTTAGGTTGGCTGGCCACTCTAAACCGTGTCAGTCCTGTGATACACTGGTGCCCTGGCCAGGTGCACCTCACCTGTCACAGGTGAGTATGTTATTGTTTACCGAGACATGTAATGTCATATGTTTTTGTTCTTTGCCAGTGAATCTACAGGTTGTACAATAGTGTGTGAAATCTGTAATGTCTTTTTTTCAGCAGAGTAGAGAGACAGCAGGTCTTAATAACCGCAGGGAGAGTGAGGAGTTGGCCATTCCTCAGTATTCACATGCTCATACATTGTATTTTCACACTGTCACCAAACACAAAGGTGTATGCAGCAACAGATTACATGTCAGGTTTTTTATTTTCAGAGTGACACACACACAGCTATGGTTTGCACAGTGAGGTCTATGCGGGGGCAGCAGGGGAGTGGAGAGGAGGGGTGTTAGGAGAATAAGGAAACCACTTTTAGCTTAGCTCCTGCAACGCCTGGCTGGCATGTAGCCAGGTTTCTCCAGAGAGGGCTGGCTCACCCCTTATCCTCTCCTCCCTCTCCTTTCTTCTTTCTTTCCCAGCCCCATGTACACTCTCTCTCCAAGTCTCCAAAGCAGCAAGAGTGACGAAAAAAGAGCGACAAAGCGGGGTAACTTTTGAGGCAACAACACCGAGGGCAACAAGTAACTTCCAAAGATGCCAAACGTGTCGGTTTTACAGATGGATCACTTGGATGTAGGAGGGAAGTGATTTTTTTTCTTAAGGAGAAAACAGGGGGGAGAACGCGTTTTTTCCACCGTATGAGACGTCAAAAATCTGCCTCGATTAACAAAGCAGGCGCCTCTGAGCCGGAGCGGATCCCATCGGCGTGTGATTTCATGTCCCCTGGTCTCTGCGGAGGGCAGTGAAGGATGCCAGGATGCCCTCTCTGATCTCCCATCTGCTTGTCATCTGGCTGAGCGTCCACAGGCTGGTGTGGTGCACGGAGCGCTCCTCCACACCGGAGCGCTTCAAGGTGGTCTTCGCTCCTCTCATCTGCAGGCGGATCTGCCTGAAGGGACAGTGTCAGGATACCTGCGAGCAGGGAAACAACACCACGCTGATCGCGGAGAACGGCCAGGGGGCCGACACGCTGATCGGACAGGGCTTCAGGGTCGGTGAGTGAAACACTGCAGCCTTTTATGAGGGGATATAATTAGGGCGCTGTGCTGACCTCCGGGTTTCTAGATACTCTGGAGAGGTGAGAGGGGCTGTTTGGAATAAATGTCACATGCTATGATAAATCTTGCATGCCAAGATAATCCTGTTAGCAACCCACCGTCACTGTAAGTCCACTTGTTTATCGCATGGCAATGGCCTGTCCATAATAGTTCAGGCATTGTTCAGGGACTCAGTTCTCACTTTGCATTGTTAAGCTGTACTGAATGACGCATCATGAAGGTACAAAGACCAACTTTAAAAGTCCTGCTTTTTAAAAAAGCAAGTTTAGCACTTGAGTATCTAAAGTGAAGCCACTCATAGTGGAAAATGACCCAGTTCGGTGTTTTTCCGAGTTTGAAGTTGAAGGTACTCTGAATCATGCTAAATCCATCATGGTAGTTGAATCTGTAATGCTACATATCTTATAATGTTTTTCACATGTAAAACCCCAAAGAAATGAGTAACAACAGGTGTAAGATTAGTGTAAGTACAATTCTAAGTAAAATGTTTGCAGTTCATCAGTACTAATACTGTATCACAAAATGGTAAGTACATTATATGACTTTCCCACATCTGAGGAAAATTAGTAAACATAAACTCTAACCTCCTGTATGCAATTAAACTAAGCCAAATAATAAGGAGAAGAAGCAAAAATCAGGTATAAATGATTCCTTTGTGTCATTATCTCCTTAAAGGGTCCTATTTCCTTTAAAGCTTACACCAGTCTGATACCAGCTACTGACATCCACCATGAATTCATGGCATTAAGATTTATGGGTGGGTAGAAACTCTGCTTTGCAAATAAAAAGGTGTCTAAGAAGAGTTGAAGTGGCTTCACCCTCCACTACACAACTGTTCCCATGGTACACTTTAGTTAGTGAGGCATGGCTCATTATGTAGCATACAAATGGAATACAAATGTACTCTTAAGATCTATACTTTCCCCCTGGACTCCAGTGTCTGGTTGACATGAGTGGAGCCTTTCTGCACTGTATCAGATCAGCTGTGGTGAGACGTGGAGCCGTGTAGTCTACATCGGTCTCTCCTTTGACTCAGTGCAGAGAATAGTACACTCAACAAGAAGAATGTGTGTTGGATGATCGTCTGAGATGTTCGGCTGCCATAAAGTGTAGCTGTAGAAAGTTTATGAGAAAGTCAAAAGAATAAGGCATAAAAACAAATCGTGAGCAAGTTGGTGATTTTTGTTCCACACAGTTTTGTAATAGAGAGAAGTTGGACTTTGGCATCCAGATGTAGCCTCTCCAGCTGTTTTCTATGGTATGCATGTGGAAGTAAGCTGGCTGGATTTATTCAAGGTCAAGTGAATCTTACTTGTAGCACTGTCACACTATCCTTCATCCTTGACATCATGTCTAGTCAGACAGTTGGCTCGGACAGCCTTTCCTCTTCTCCTTCAGCTTCCTTGAGTCACGTTTTGGAGCTTCTGTGTCAAATCATTCACTTTAAATTCCAGAAATACCTAATACTGCTTCACATTTAGTCTGAATGTGTAATGCTATAGTCACCTGTGTCCTCGATTTCACAGTCAGAGTATCTGAAAAAAAGCTCCTTGCTGGGTTGTATGAGTTTTTGCAGCAGGGGATAGAGCGTTTGAGGAGATGTGTGTTGCTCAGTGTGAGAACTGGAATGTGGTGTGGACAAGTGGAAATTTCTCTCTCCCATGTTAAAACAGCCAAAAGCAGCAACAATATAAAGACTTTTCCATATCTCAGCGGTTATGATGTCAGCACAGCGAGGCTGAGGCCCGAGTTGAGCAAGCCTAACCAGAACAAAACCTTTTCTCAAATGTCACAGCGTGGAAGTACAGAAATACCGTTCAGGACATGCACTTGACCATGAACAAGGGTTTTCACTGTCAGTACTGTAATTGACTGACATTGGCTGGAATTTGATGGAGAGGCAGGCTGAGTACCAAAAAAGGTTTTAGTGATGACCTGGATCTGGGATTTCTGCCAAAAAATACTTTTTATGGCCATAAGTTTGAAAGTAATAGACAGAGACATTGTATTATTTATTTATTTTATCATGAGCAGGCTGACATGATCAAGTGAACAAATCATGGGGATGACTAATACAAATGGGGAACGCTGCAGTTACACGAGCCCGCTGTGGCTCAGGGGGTAGAGCGGGTCGTCTCCTAAGGGCCAGCGGTTTGATCCTAGGCTAGGTCCAGTCTACATATTGAAGTGTCCTTGGGCAAGACACTGAACCCTTTGCCTCGGTGATATCACCGCTATGTGAGTGTGTAACTGTTTTTGTGCAAGCGGGTGAATGGTGTGATAGTGTAATGCACTTTGAGAGTGCTTTCTTGTATAGAAAAGTGCAAGTATAAACCAATTTATTCAGAAACCATATATTTGATATATTGATGGAATGTTTACAGGGTGAGAAATCAGATTATCCAAGCTGAGGGGAAGATATCTCAGGAGAACAAACTGGAAAATGTGTCAGTGTTATTAGAGGTTTCTGCTTCCAAAGACCTGTCTTCACTCTGTTTACCTTTCATAACTAGTAGCTGTGCAAACCACAAAGCTTTACAATGATATGAAAGAGACAAATGCAAGGGGATCAAGGAGATTTGACAGATGTTTCCAGAAAATGTGTGAACATTTCAGCCGTGCTAATGGTATGGCTATATGGATAACAAAGTCAGCCTGTAGGTCACCGTCAGCCAGTCTGTGACTTTGGTCCAAACTGAAATTTCTCAACAACTCTTGAATGGATTGCCATCAAACTTGAGACAGACATTCGTGGTTACTCTTAGTTAGTGCCACCTTAAACATATTGATCAGAGCAGCTTAAAGTACAGTTGCTGTCAACTTTTCCAATAAATCATATACATTTCAATCAAACCAATTTATGACCCCTTTGGTCAGAGCACTGTGTGATTAAGCTCTCTCAGCCTGGGACAGACAAGCACCCAGATGTTGAACCTCTCCATCAGGATCACCTGTCATGCATCAGGACCAACTTTTGTACTTGATGTGGTATTTGAGAGAGCAGAACACTGAAGTCGTTGTCACACAGACAGTCAGAGGTGACACAATGTCTCTTATGGTTAAGTAAGTAGCAGTTTGACACAGTACATGACCATTTAATGCGCAGTATAGAATGCATCACAGCCGCCTGCCTGTGTAACCGTTATTATACACTTGTTCTCTGAGCTCCAGCATAAACTTATCAGATTAAAAAAACTATTATGAACAGCTAAACACTTACTTGACATTTAAATCTGCATGACACACACTTCAGGGTGAGATGTACTCTGGTTATGTGTTTTATATGTTTGTCCGTCACAGACCGCTGTTCCTAAAACTGATGAACCTCGAAGGCCTCTCAGGCATGTCAGCAGGCAGAGCTGGCATTTGGCAAAAGCTGACATTTACAGCCTTATCTTGGATTCCACCTCATACATGTATTACAGCTGAAATGTCCTCATCTAAAGTATTATGCAGGACAGAACGCAGAAAGAGTCAGGAAAGGGTAAAAGACAAAGAGGCATGTGAAAATGGTTGCAAGTTTGAATCATAAATCATAAAGTTGAAAAAACCTTGAGCAAACTTTTCCATTCTCATCCTATTGCATGTCCTCTTTTCCTCTCTTGAACCTGAACCTGTTTACTGGCAGATGAAGACTCGCTTTATAATCGTCCCCATGTGTTTGGCTGGCAAAATGTGCAACGGCCAAGTTTTCTTTTTATCCCCGCTATGTGAACGTTTGCTGTAAATTGAAGGAGACTGGTGTTTTTGTTAGCGTGTGTGCTTTTGTCTGTCACTTTGACCACTTGTATTTAGAGTACTTTCAGTAGTCACCAGTTACTGTATATTCTTTCAAAATGAAGTAGCTACATAAAAATCAATATCTGTACTCATGTCTCTGTCGTTTTTTTCCACCAAGAATTCATTTTTCTTGCCAATGCTCGGACAGAGGCGTCCTGTCTATCGGTCTTACTGACAGCAGCTGCTTTTCTCTCCTGTGCATCTCATCTTTATCAGGGCGGCAGTCATCTAAGCTGCTCCAGATTCTCTTTTTTTTCCTACAATAACAAAAGCACAAGTCCTTATGGTGCATTTATTATATCCCAGTTTGGGCTCGTCTCCTCTAAAAAATGGCCTTCATGAGAAGAGGATATGACTATTTCAGAATTTCCCATGTCATTCTGTATTTAGAGGAAAGTGACAGGAGAAGCCCTGTGGTTTGTTTTGGTTTTCCCTTGGCATGGGTCAGAGGTCCATGGGAGCCTGAAAAAAAGACAAGTTACTCAGATGCAGTAGGAGCTAGTTCTGCTTTCTTTTTGTTTAGGAGGTGAGTTTATTTTACTTTTCAAAGCCTCTCCCTCTCTCAAGGCAATCATCGGAGAAAGCGGTCTAATACAGGCAACCAAAAACCGGCAGCACTCCGGGTTTTTGCCACAGGTTGGACTGATCTCAGAGGCGAAGCTGGGCAAGGCTCCCGTGCTCACACCCTCTCAAACGCAAACACATGCGCTAGGGAGGCTCATGCACATTCATCTGCAGCTTATTTATCATAAAAGCTCCTTACAGTTGGTGAAATGCGCATCGCGTGTGCTGGCAGGCTGATCTTTAACCTCTGGTCAAAGTGGTGTTTTAATATGTTTGGAAGCAAATCTATCACCTCTCCCCAGCTATTTATGCATGTGGGGGGAAATAATATACAGGGTTATTTCATTAGCCTTTAGCCACAGTTTCACAAGCAGGACACTAATGTAGAACTTTCACAGAGTGGTGGTGGTATGAAACTTTACAGGAAAACAGACGTGTACTGTAATGTATGTATTATTAGATAAGAACGTACCTGGTCAAGAAATAAACAAGGTACAATTCACGGCTGAGCCTAAATAAAATATAGTCTCTAGCTGATGTACCTTCAGAATAGTCAGGCAGTCCAACAATGTGACAAGTACTGTATGTGAACA